GCCCTGCGCCTGGGCAGGTGGAGCAGGGGGTGGGAAGCCACCTGTGCTATCCCTTAGCTGTCCCTCAGACGTGGGAGTGGGCCCTGCCCTCTGACCTGTGGTGCGAAGGGAGCCAGGAAGCAGCTTCATCCTGCCGATCTCTCAGGGACTCTTGGGGCTCCCGTCACCGTCCGGGCCAGGAGGGGGAGGGGGGCTGGCGGCTCCCCGTCTTTAGGGCAGGTTAGCATCTCTGGAAATAGCTTTTGTAAAAGGGGCTGGTGGGGAGCCTCAGGGGTCCTCCCCCTTGGTGCAGGTCCTACCTTGAGTGGCTTCAGGCGATTTTTATGCCAGAGCTTGGGGAAGACGCAGGAGGTCCCGCTGGAACATGAACTTCCCAGAGGGGCAGCCAAAGTCCAGGCGGCCTCGGGCGGGGCCAGAGCCCTCTCCCTGACAGAGGGACCGGTCAGTATTGGTCTATTTATCAGAGGTGTAATTACCGCGTAGGGCTTTTCTCCTCTTAGATTATTTTGTATTTGTTTAAAAAAAGTTTTGTCAAAATATAAAATATAAAGAAATGACTGAAAGCTGTTGACAGGGTTTTTAAAGAGTTATAATTATTACTCCAGCTGTCTTTTGTTTGGTTGGGTTTTTTGCCTTGTAAACTAGCACCAAGGAGCTGCAGCAAATAAACTCCGATCTGCCCAACCACGTGGTCGTCCGTGGGTTCTGCCTGTCACCCGCCCTTCCCCCTTCCAGCTCCGGTTCCTGCTGTGCTGCCCACAGACCCCTTCTCCCCTTGGAAGTGCCTCCTCCCTCTTCCCTGGGCTGCTTCACTGTCCCCACAGTCCCAGGAAGCCCCCCACCCCGATCCTCACCCATGGCATGTCCCTGCCCGCACCCTGCCCTGTCCCCACCATGCAGACTCTTCTGTTTGGAAAGGAACGCTCTTCATTGTATCACCTGCCGAGTTTCACACAATCACACTGAATTTTAATTTCACAGGAAAAGCCCCCGAGCAAAACAACCCAAGGAGGGAGGGAGGGAGGTGCCTGGCCTCACACATGGGGACTCGACCCAGAGCTCGGTGAACTTCGAGACCTGCCCTGTCCCAGGCACCCTGGAGGCTGCGTGGGGCTCCTTGCACCATTCGTGGTTTGATTTTACCTGGGGCTGCCCAGCTCTCGGGCCTCATTTCGAAGGGCCCCAGCTGTTTCACGGGAGGCAGAGGGACAGAGTGGACGACGCGTGACCCAAACACTCTCCCAGCTTAGCGAAAACATTGGATTCAGGGCCAGATCCCCACGTCCAGTCCAGTCCTCTGTGGGCACGGAGCCCTGCGTGTCAGGCTGAGGCCGGTGGGGTGGGAGCGGTCGGGGGTGGGGCTCCCTCCTCGAAGCCATCAGCGCCCCGTGAACTTGGGCAGCCTCACCATGGCCTTAGTAGCTGTCGCTATACAAAAATACCTGTATCCATCGCAGCATCTATGATTTAACCGAAAGCATTCCAGTGTAGCTGGCATGATGTCACTCATGTGGATGGTTTAGGAGCCGGAGCTCCAACCCCAGGACCCCTCAGCTCACTCACTCTGCCGGGGGAGCACAGTCCCGCGTGCTCAGTGGGCCGCGTGCCTGAAGGGCCGCCCTCTGCGATCGGCGGCCCAGTCACCGCCGGCACGGCACCAGTTAGCATCTACGAGGGTATTGGAAATTTTTCTTTGTTTTGTTTTTTTTTTTGTTTTTTAAATTTTTTTATAAGAGAGGAAAGGAGAGGGGGAGAGAGAGAAACATCCATCGGCTGCCTCCTGCACGCCCCCTACTGGGGACTGAGCCTGCAACCCGGGCATGTGCCCCGACCGGGCATCCAACCAGGGACCTGGGACAACGCTCAGCTAACTGAGACACTGGCCAAGGCCCAAAGTTTCATTTTATTGTTGTAGCTGGAAACCCGCTAACGAGTGCAGTGGATACGTGAGTTGGCTCCAACTCAGAGACATTCCACCCCTGGGTGGGGGGAGCCCCGGCCCTAGCCCTGAGCAGGGGTGCAGGAGGACGTCTGACCTGTGTCCGCCCAGGTGCATTTCAGGGCCCCTGCTCGGAGCTGGGGCGTCAGTCATGCCTATAGGTTCCACTAACAGTTCAGCGCCTGCTTTGCCGACAAGTGTTCGTCCAGTAGCACCGCTGGGTGCGGGGAGTCTGGTCGGAGGCTTGTTTCACGCAGTCGTGATGGGGAGGGGGCCGAGTTTCCCACCCCGGGCGTTTGTGGTGCTGCCGCCAGAAACCAGAAGAACGTTCCAGCTGCACAGGATGTGGTCCTATTGGAGGGCGCCCGGCTCCCTCGGATCCTAAGGGCAGAGTCACTCGCACTGTTGGTTAAATCACCGTTCATTTTCCAGACTCACCTGCCCATACGCAATATAAAAAGTGTGACCAGTGCATTTCCATCTCCCTACTGTCGGTCAGGTTTCCTTATAAGCAAATGGGGAAAAGTTGTATTTTCACGTGTTTACCCCGATGGTTAAAACGCCTGGGACGGTCCCCATGGGGGATTTCTAAAGAAGTAAGACTGTTCAATGTGAACAGATAGGATTTTTAATAGGGAAACGGTTATATTGTGTTTGGCGACGAGATCAGTATAACCGTGGAGATAATTCCTAACATCTGTTTTCAAAATAGTAGGATCGGTAGGAAGAATTTCTTTCAAAAGCGGTTATCTTCTCATTTCTCATTAAAATGTTTTGTGGCACAGAAGCAGGTGTGTGTGTGAGTTTATGTAAGTATCTTCTGGGTAGCAATTTGCTGACAGAAAGCTGAAAAACACTGCCAAGAAGGATTTTAAAAACCAACGGAGGGATACCTGCTGTGTACGGGCCGGGAGACTCAATAGTGTAATGATCTCACTTCTCCCCAAATGGACCTGTAGAGTCGGTGCAGCCCTAAGCAATGTCCCTGAAGCTTTTATAAAATATAGAAATTGACAATCGGATTCCAAAGCCGTTATGGGAAATACAAAGGGCCTAAAATAACCAAAGTCACTGTGAAAAAGGAGAGCCCGTTCGCTCTCCCCGATTTCAAGGCATCCTGGGAGGATGCAGGAGTCGCTCCAACAGCGTGGCGGGGACAGTCAGACGCCCCCGCGCCGAGCGGGACCCTCCACGCGCGCTCCGGTTAATTCAGAGCCCATCGTAGACCCGACGTAGACTGACGCGCTCGGACTCCGGGAGGAAAGCCTTAAGGGCGGTGTTTGTGCCCTTGGGTTAGAGATTTCACAGGTACAACATTGGAACCACAATCTATGAATGAAAAGCTGGTAACGCTGAACCTCATCAAAATGAAGACGGTCTGGTCTCAGGAAGGGACGGTTAAGAGACTGAGCAGCAAAGCCACGCCCGGAGGAAGTGCGTGAGGGCCGCGTCCTGTTCCGGGACCATCTCCAGGATGCGCGGGGATCTCGCGGAGCCAAACAAGAACAGAACCCGGCGCAGGACTGGAAACGAGGCCTCACCAAAGGAGAGATACGGATGATTGAACACACGGGGAGGTGCTCGGCATACAGGGAAACGCAAATTCAAACCTCAAGGCGGCGTTGCACCTCCTCCTGGAACTGACAGCTTGACAGCCCGACCGGAGCGGCTGCTTAGGCGCCGGCCCAGTGGCCCTCGGGGAACCGCGCAGCCCCCCGGAAGGTTAAACGGGCTCAGCACACGGCCCAAGGCCTCGCCCCGAGGGAAATGAGCACTCGTGTGCGGGACAGCAACCGTACACGCTGGGAAAAACTCAAAGGACAGGTGTTCCTTATCTGTAATTTATCCCTCACAAAAACCTGAACGACAACACCCTTCATGATGAGAACTCTGAGCGAGGCGGAGACGGAGGGAGCCTGCCTCCGCGTCACAGAGGCGGCGACGCAGGACCAGCCCACAGCTGGGACCCTCGAGCATCGGGAGCAAGACAAGGACCCGGCCTTCCCCCCCCCCC